TTTAAGTTGTGACCTCTTGGCTCACTACATCCTCCTCTCCAAGTAAACTAGAGGAAATACAGGAAATTTGCATTGTCTGAAAATAACCCAGCTTCCAAAAATATTTTCAGTAAATCAGTCTCACATCCAAAACTAAAGTTTTACCTTGGGACAAATGTAAATATACATTTTTAAATCACTTCCTTTTCAAAACAAAGTGCGTATTTAACTGAAAAGGAATCCTACACAAAAAATTACATAAAGTGTAAGAATACGCAGCTTCGTTTCAGCCGACAGATTCAATGGAGACTATGTGAAAACCATTAGCAGTAGCAACTTTTATGGTAATTTTGGTAATTAAAAGCCTCACCAAAGGCATCACCTCAAAACTATTTGTATCTACTACTGTATAACATGCCAGGCAAAAAGTAGGTCATACTGGCATGTGCCAAGACAAAAGTAGAATTTCCCAAGCATGCCAAACCAAGAACCAATCACATCAGTGTCATATCTCTTGGTATTTGGACTTCATTTTACAAATACATTCTTGGGAAAACTTTTTCTTTACCACACCTTGAATCTTGCTCAATATATTTCCAGAAATCTATACCTATAGCAGATGTATTTAAGCCCACATCAAATGAGATTTGATTTCAGCAGAGGGTTACTTCCCTGTTCTAGAGTTAAGGAGGAAGTTTTGAAAAGTCAAATAGGGATTTGGGAATTTCAAAGAATACCACAGTGAGTTATAAAAGTTAACACAAAGTTGAATATGTAGAATGAGGTAACAAATAGAATCCCAGCTTAAAAAGAGTGGTATCAATTTTGGCCTTTCCCAACTCCAACGAAAAATGCACCTTAAGTAGTTATGTTCCTACCCTTTTGAATTCCTAGGCATGTTTTGGTCTTTAGAACTCATTGTTACCTCTTATATATTCCTTATACAGTATTTCATCTATTCTAGGACATATTTCAAAAGATATGTAACGGAACTTCTACAAAAACAAAAGCTTATCTAACTACACTACACAAAAATCTGGTATGTTGACTAAGTGTTGCTCAAGCCATAAATTACCTATGTAGCTTCTTGGTCTCTCCTAAAATCATACCCTTTGTTTCCTGGCATTGCATGCTGTTTATTTCATACAAGTCACTGAAGTTTTTAGGACTCTTTAGCAAATCTCATTTTCCCCATTTATCCTCGAGGAAAAGACCTGATGAGAAACTAAAACCCTTCCTTAAAATCAACTTTGCTAAACACCCATCTTGCATCTGCTTCTGAAATTCAGATTGTTAAAACACTGAAACATTTTATATTAGAGTCTACTTGTTGGGCAGGAAAAATACATTAGGCTCTTGGTCAAAAGAAAATCACTCTTCTCTGATAAGTTTAGAGACAACTCATACCTTACAGACTGTCACATATTCCTTATGGAAGAAAAAGACCCTATTTTCCACTAGTATCCCTTTTAATCTGAAGCTCAACATCTAGTTTCTTTTACAGCATTATAAATGTAAAAACAGCACACACGGAAATACAAATGGCTCCAACTAGCATGCGCACCTGGCATGAAACGTCATCTGTGTGTGTGCAAACCAAGTGTGGAGGGCCAAACTCCATTCATCGTTGCAAGCTGAATTAAGAGAGGTGATGGAGATAAAGGAGCAGGTAACGCCTAGCTGTGCACTCTCTGGATTGCATCACTAATATTTAACCTCTCTAAACAGGATTCCTCTTTTCAGACTGATTTGATACAAACATAACATACATGAAAATTTAAAAGCTGAATGCTACTGTTATAAGGAAAACTCCTGACAACCTTAACAGATCTCTTCTGGGTCCATAAAATCATTTTTTGCCTTCTCCAACAGCACTTAAAACTGCAATAATGTATCATTTTGTTCACTCTTATTCTACTTGTCAAGTCTGTAATCCAAAGTGAAAACCTAGAAAATGAGAATATATCATCCAAATGGCAAACCAACCCATTTTATTCTAAACCTAATGAATCAAATTTGTAATCAACAGTTGTAGCAATCTTAGAAAACTTATACTGACCCTATTAAAAACACACTTTTATAGCATTGATGCAAAAACAGTGATGAGAGAAAACAGCTTTATCATTGGAGTTATTGTCTAATGTACTGGCTCTTTAAGGACACAGCAAAAAACAAGAAAAATACAAAAACAGAACTGTCCCAGCATCCTCTCATCAACCACTGGAGGGTCAGGAAAAGAGCAATCTTCAAGTATGACTTCCAATGATTTAATTTCTAAACCCAGTGATGACTTAGGTATAAAAGCACTTATCATTCAATTTGTGGAACACTTGCATAGATGTAAAAGCAAGCATTCTGATTTGTATTACTTTGTAAAATCAGAAGAAAGTTGCCAAGAAATAATTAATGGAGTAAGAAGCTGGTTCTTTCTCACACACCCACTCCTTAAATTTCTATTAGGTCTTCTGTATCCCCCACTACTTGTTTTCCAGCACCAAATCAGTTACTCTAGAATCGACAGATAAATACAATCTATTCATCTTAATCCTATATACGAAATGAACAGTGTAGTTTATCAGCAAATGCAAACCTTCTAGATTACTGCAACACATTTTCAATCATCATGGACAACTAAATGTTAGAAGCCAAAAATAACACAAGAGTAAACCAAAAACGTTAGACAACAAAGGTGATAGTGAAAGAATCAAAACCACTGTTGAACGGCAATTCAACAAATCAAAAAAGTAGGGCCTACTGCTTGTGCTTCCACTCTCATTCTAGACTTCTAGATTGAGGCCTTGTTTACCTTCAGCAGTCCCTTGAGGTCCTCTAACTATTCACACTGTAGTGTTTGCTCACAAGGCTTTCCTGGAGCGGGCAGGAGAGCCTCACAAATGAAGCCTGTCTTCAGTATTTCTCATGCCCATTAATATAAAACAGATGAATGGTTTTGGGTGTAAAGATGCAGAAAATTGAGACAACTGAAAACAGATGCTCTAATGGATAGAAGTAGCATTGGAGAAATGTCAGTAAAGTGACAGTCTCCTTAGTATAAAATGAGGCATCAGAAATGATACGTAGAGTTCAACTAAGCCAGCACTCTATGCTTACTATACTTAGAAAATTTAAAAAATACAAACCACTGAAAATTCTTAAGATACTGCTAAACCTAGGACAGGTGGTGACACAAAAAAAGTTATGTACAAACACTAGCACAGTAAATGAATACGGAGATAACTGAGGATAGAAACAGTCTGATTTGCTGCATCTTCATAAGGGAAACTGAGTAAGTAAAATCTCACACTACAAACCCCTTCCCCAATTTAAAGCATTAAAGAGTCCTCACACCAAGCTAATTTAAAGGTTTAGTTTATACAATTGTTAAGTCTGCAAACCACAATATAAATGTCAATAACTACATAAATACTGTGATAAAAATAAACAAAGTCATAGTTAATTCTATTATAATGCATTAAGAATAACCTTAAAAAGCAAATTGTGAATAATGGCATATTTAATAAATTAGGGAACATCTTAACTGCTAAGAGACTGGGGGAAATTTTAAGTTTTCTATGTACACAAAGGCAGTGGGAACAAATTTAAAAAAAAAAAAAAAACAAATTACTACATTGTTGCAGCACATTAAAGACTGGGTGGTGTATATTATTAACAATTACATCCTCTTTCCCCTAGCCTGGAAGAGAAAAGGAGTCAGTTACCAAGCACAGGAACAATTTCAACAACTCATCTGAGTCTCCAACAGCAAGCAGATACTGCAGTATGTCATTAAGCAACTTACTGTCATTTCACACCATATGTGGCAGTAAGAAACTTAAAAAAAATTAAAAGGCACGCATAAGCTGATTTCAAATATTTTAAGTCCAGGCTACTCTCTTTAGATACAATGTTTTAAACACTTGTGTAGAACAATTTTTAAATAAACATTTCCAAAAACTTGAATACAGAACTTAGGAACCATGAATCTGAACCAAAAAAAGTTACATTGGAAAAAAAAAAAAAAAATCATGAAATAATTACAGCTAACCTGTATTTAGAGATTAAAAGATTTTTAGGCAACCTATATTCTTTAGGAAAATAAAATGTTTGATTTCAGAGTAGGTAACATGTTTACTAAAAGTTCTCACTACAGTACATGCCTATTTAAAATTCTACCTTTAAAGATCTTTAAACTGATTTTATATTGTTCCTTACCACAATTAGACTCACTGAAGAGCTCAAAACTAAAGCAATAGCATTTTTCTTAGCATGCACACACAAAATAATCTACCATTTAGTCATCTCATTAACTTATGCTTTCAATTTTTAAGAATGACCAAACTGTCTGAAAAATATTGGGCAACATTTTCTCTACTTGATGACATATCTATGCATCTCAGGTAGCATTTTTATATGAATATCCTTTTCTTGAATGTTTTAATACCAGTATACTTAAACATATGTAAGAGTAAATGAGGCAGATTTTACTGTATAAAATTAGTCATCCTTAAGATTCCACATGCAAAAAAAAAAAAAAAAAAAAAAATTCATAAAGTTCAAATGTGTTTGTCCTAAAAATAAACGTGCAAGTACACTACACAACGAAGATGACTTGACCATCTTAGCCTTTGACAGTATAAAGCTAAGTTATTTCTGATGGCCCACTCTGAAAATGATCTAAGATTCCATAATTTAAAAGCATTTTTCTAGTCTTTATTAAATTAAGTATAATTCATGGTGATAATACTTATATCCTAAAACAGAGGCACAGGTTTGAGAATTTAAATCTTCTGGGTTTTGTTAGTCTTTCTTAAAGGTCACAATGATGCTATTTCCTCTATTAGCATAAAGTTGATATTTGTAAAAATAGCCATTAAATACTAATTCACAAGTACATTTAATGTACATATAAACCCTATGTTAAAAGTATAAACAAGAGGAAATCTAAGTTCTAAGACTTCTAAATCGTTGACCATCAAAAAGTGAACCACCCTCTTTAAGACTTAACATAACTTTAAAAAGAATTGCTTCAACATATGAATTTAAGACTTTACTTTATTCAGCAAAATCATTTATTTACACAATGGGGAATGCTGGTTTGATTTTGTCAATGAAATAAACACAAACTAAACAGAGACAATACTGAACTGTATATATATTTTGTATCAGAGTTGACCAACTGTTTCCTTACCTGTATCAGGAACATCAAGAGCAACAGTATCACAAGGACACTGGTTTAACAATACACCACATAGGTCCAGTAATACCCTGGGAATCTCCCAATGCAATTACCAACTTTTTCTTTTTTTATAAATATATAAAAAAACAAAAAGTCAGCAAAACCAGCATTATGATGTAGCAAACAGAGTATAACTCTGAAGTCAGTGGGGTCAGTAAAAGCCTTATCAGACCATCCATAGTTTTACAAAGTGATCTGCTCTTCCTCAGACCACTAATATAGAATCCAAACAGGTGAAAAATATATCACTCTTTAGAAGACAACAATGATCTGATAAGGATTTGACTTAGTGGAAGAAAAAAAAATAAAAGGTAATTGCAGAGCATAGCCCCTATTAGAACAAGCTAACTTTCCGGATTTTACAAATTAAAAAAACAAAAACAAAAACAAAAAACCACTTCAACATGAAGCTACCATACAAAGTTTTTCCATTTTTCTTTGTAAAAAGTTCAGAGTTTGCAATTTAATCCTGGGTTTTTAATGAGAAGGACAGTTTTGGCCTGGACTTCCCCTTGCCCAGGATAATTTTTTGTTCTTCCTTTTGTTGACGTTGTCGTTCTTGTTCTAGTTTCATCCTTTCCTCATGAATCTTTCTTTGTTCTTCAACAATTCTCAACTGTTCTTCAGCCTGAAAGGGAAAGGTAAAAATTAATGATATGAATGTATTAAAAATTATCATATGTACCCCCAGAACAGGCCTATCTTCTTATGTATCTACAAAAAAAGTGTTTAATGCAAAAAAAGGGGGTAAGAACAAGGACTTTCTATGAATTCCATGCCTTCTCATTATTTTAGTTATCAAGAAACAACTTACAATGATATGTGTCATAAAATTTAACTAAGGTCACATAGTTTAAGTGGTAGACAAAAAAGAATTGATAAAATTAAAAGAGAGCCCTTTAATAATTGTATTTACATTTCCTACCTTTCATTTTTAATAAAAAATAAACAAACAAATTACGGAAAAGCACTTACACATTTTGGAAATGGAAATTAATTTTTACAAATCACATGTTGAGATCACAAGATTTTGTTCTGTACCTATTTTTATCTCTAACTTCAATGTATCAGATTAACAGATCATCAATTATAAACCAAGGCATGGATTTACTGAAAGAGTAGGTTATCTACCAGTTACTATATTTATAGTTAGAAGGACTTACAAAAAAAAAAAAAAAAAAAAAAAAAACCACACAGGAAAAAAAAATGTCCATTTGGGCTTTTGTGTGGTCAAATCATGCCAGAAAAAAGGGACTATATTATAGTATCAGTAGAACCGAGAAACACTATAGACCCAATTACCTGAAGAAAACAATTAGAAAACCTTCTGAACCTGGCTAACTATAAAGTGCTACCTAATTTCAGAGAGACGCTGGTATAATTGATTCCACTCCTGCAGTGACTTCAATTCCTTCCATCTCAAGCAACCTCTTTCCTGCATCCTTCTACAGAAGATTTCCCCCTTTACCAAAGTAAGGCCCTTCTCATGCTTCCTAGAGATACCATACACACATCTTCAATTCTCAACCAAGCACAATTTTAACCTTCTCCCCAAGGGGACATTAAGCAGTGCATGGATATGATTCTGGCAGCTGCAACTGGGGATGACTCCCTGCATCTAGTGGGTAGAAGACTGGGACGATGCTACACATCCTACGATGCAGAAGACAGCACCCACGACACAGATGGCCTCATCAGTGCCAAAGCTGAGAAAGCCTGTTCTAACCCTTGAATTTTTAGTATCGATTATCATGATTTCGCCTTTGTCCTCTCTATCTGACAGTGATGCTAAAACATACACTGTATCCTTTGAACTGCCTACCTATTCGCATTCCAAGTCAAATTTTAGGTCATTGCTTCCATCTCCATTATTCTACTAAAAGTATCTTCTGGATGGTCAAAAAAACTATCAAAATCAGTGACTTTTTCTTTATTCAAATAAATTCTTCTGTTCACTATGATTTTCCACACAATCGCTTCTTTTGTCTCCATTGAGATTTTTTTTTTAATAAAGTGCAATGTGCCTAGATTATAGGCTTTATGACAGAGGAAAATGGAAAAGGTAACAGGACTTTGGTATGCAACACAAAATGTTTAAATTTTATCTTAAGTAACAAAAAGGGAAGAACAAAAAGAGGTGTAGACAGCAATGTGGTGAAGACTAAAAAACAGGTGTTGGAGCAAATAAAAGTCAGTCAAGTAAGGTCGGAGATAACAAAGATCAGAAATTACAAGCAGTGAGAGAATCTGGCAAGGTAAGCAAGGTGGAAAATGCAACAGAGCGCTAAAATGTATCTTAAAATACACCTCTCTAAAACCATTTTCGTATGCTACATTTATAATACCTGGCTACTGGACACACCCATCTGGGAGACACAGGACTTGCTTCAAAATTTTAACATGTTCAAGATTTAAATTCTTCCACTTTCTCCCTAAAACAAATCTGCCTTTTACACTTTCCCTTCTGCCACTCAAATTCTATTGCTGTGTTTCATCTCTTCCTTCTTCAGTCATGTTAATTCTTGTTTTATATTCTCTACCTAGAGTTTACGTTCGTCAGCATACCAGTTTAGGGCCACGTTATCTTTGGTACATCTAAAATGGTGCCCATTTCCAGTGTATCCTTCAATCCACCCTACACGACACTGCCAGACTCATCTTTCTTGACCATTGCTCACTCTTTCTTGTCCTCAAATTTCCAATGATACCTACTATCCATGGCATATAGCTTAATCTCCTAAATTAGCATGATTCCATAAGACTTAACATTTTCTATAACCTGGCACCAGCTGTGGTCCTACTACTCTTCTAAATTCTATCTGGCTCCCCGTCTTTTGCTCATGCCATTCTTTCCTCCTATGGAAATCCTACTTGTATATATCAGAATAGATTTCAAACAGCCACTCTTCCTTAGATTTTCACTGATAAGAATTCACAACAAAAAGAATTACCTGCTTCCAGTTGTCATTAGTGAATTCATATGCCAATCACTTTATCCAGTTTTAATAAATCACATTTTTTTAAATAAATCACACATTTAGGGTTAAGAGCTTAGTGTGTGCAACTGAATCAAGATGTAGCAGAGGTTCTTTGCATGTGTGCATGTGCCGAAGAAACATTTTATCAATATAAACACTCAAGACTCACTTTCTTTTAAGGTTCTAACTCAACCCTGGGAAAGCACACTAGAACTCTGGAGGGTGAGGGGAAAAGGACATAAAGTAGAACATCACAACCTTAATCCATAAGAGAAATCTAATTAAAATTACAAAGATACCATTTTTTTACCCTGTAAGAAAGAAATCCAAATGTGTGACAGCACATTGCTGTGGTTTCAACATGTCCCCCAAAGTTCCTTATTAGAAATTTAATTGCCATTTTAACAGTATTAAAATGTGGGGCATTTAAGCAGTGATGAGGCCATGAGACGTTCATCCTCGTGAATGGATTAATTCTATTATCACCTGAGTGGGGAGTGGGTTGGTTACTGTGGGGATGGGCTCCTGATAAAAAGATGAGTCCAGCCACGACCTCTCTCTCGAGGGCCCACTCCATCTAGCTTGCTTGCCATACGGTGTCTTCCACCATGTGAAGACCTCACCAGATGCCTGTGCCATGTTCTTAGGCGTCCCAGCTTCCACAACCCTGAGCCAAATAACTTTTATAAATTACCCAGTATCTGTTACAGCAGCAAAAAAATGGACTAACACACATATACTATCATATAAAGAGCATTTTGACACCATCAAAATTGTATCTTCGTAATACTTTATGCTAGCAAGTCCATTTTCTGGAATTTACCTTATTATATACTTGAACACCCATGCAAAATTAATACATTTACAAGGTTACATTATTACGAAAGTTTATAGAAAAAAAAAAAAGAAACGGAAAAAACCCCAAACGTCCACCAAAATGGATTCACTAATAAATTATGGAAGCTATATAAAGCAGAATATTGTATAGCTGCTAAAAACAAACAAGAAAGAGGAAAAAAGGAGGTCCCTATGTTCTGCAAAGGAAAGATCTCCAAGTTACACTGTTAAGTGAATAAAAAGAAAGTTCCATATATACATGCTACTTTTGTGCAATAAAGGAAGAATTAAAATATTAACGCATTTGTATCTGCCTGAATAAGCATTTACAGACAGTCTGAAAAGATTAAAAAAACCCGTTAACTGAATACACCTTTTGGAAGTGGTGTTCGTGTGGGGATTGGGGAAGCGGGAAGAAGGGTAAAGGAACTTCACTGTTTCTCTTCCTGAAAAAAACAAAATTTGAACCATGTGATCATTTTACCTAATTAAAAACAAGTAAAGCAACTTCCTTCAGAGAAAATACTAATTCTGTACTTTAGGTAAAGAATCAAGTTTCTTCATTTAGGTCTACAAATACAGGAGTTTTGTGTGCGTATGTACGGAAGAGCTGATTTTCTCTGGGACTACAGCTCAACAAGGTTAATCCCCAGTGCTAAGCATATAGTGCCTACTAGAAGTATTTAATGCAATGATTTAAAAATGAGAAGGTGAATATCCTGTCTTTATATACAAATATTGGTATTTTGTTCTACTATGGCTTTACTTGCTCAATTACACTTTGATGAAATTAAAAAAAAAAAAAAACTATTCAAACACTAACAGTCATCTCTCATTTGATAAAGTGCCTCTCAAGTGATGAAAGTTGGTTTCCTGTTCATCCACCATCTGTAAGTGTGGTACGATCGTATACCCTACTTGATAGGTATATTCTTAAACCCTACCCTCTGCAGTAACTTTTTCTTTCCTGATAACTTTACTTGTCATAGAATATAACCATTGCTCCTTTCCCTGCTTGTTTCACATTTATGCAGAAGCAAGCAGTATTTGGACTGGGGGGTTGAAGATGCATAGACATATTTATACCGATGAATAATACTAAGCTCACTAACAAGTATTATGTGGTGGACAGCTTGGAGGCCAAGAGGAAAGGTAACATCCACAACACCAGAACCATTACACTGGGGCAGACCCTCCTAGCCATTATGCCCATAACCCGGTTCAATCTCACAAAGGTGACTTTCAACCTTATACCCCAAGCTAAAGAGTGATTGGTGAGAAGAAATACACAAAAATAAAATGTCCCATTATAGTTAAAAGGCCTACTTACCCCTCCCAGTAATCTCTGCCCTACCTTCTTTAACCAGAGGATGTACTGGTTTTATAAAGCTTACTTTTCTAAGCATTCTCCTCCTTAAACTGTCTATAAATTTAATCAAGGTAGTCCCTTAGCAACAATCCCTTTTACAGAGATACTAAAACCTATTTTCTATTTAAATATGTATAACTTAATAAAATTTTAAAAATCCAAACATAGAAACATTATCAAGATTATAGAAATAGATGAAATACAGCACAATCAGAAACTATGCCACTATTCAGAAACGTGGATTTCTACATTTTAAACCTTCCAAGATAGCCTTATCCGCTCTGCCATTTATAATTTTAATTCCTTCAGCTTCCCTTCCATAACTTTTATAACGTATATCCCACTTTAGATAACCAAGGAATAAAAAAAATTTGATATGATTCGTTCTAACACTTGGTAAACTATGTCAGTAAATTTTTCTAAGGTATTCCACATGCCAACGTT